TGTACCTAGGTACCCTAGATCCCTGCAAGAACTACATCATCTCAACAGCACTGTTGTCCAATGGCTAAATGATATCTGGTTGTGGGTTGCTACCGGTTCGCACCGGATCAGGTGAACTGGTAGCGGCGGTGGTGGGAGGCTCTGCCCACCTGCCTGGATGCTTCTGCACATGCACAGAAGCGCCATGCGCACACGAGCAAACCGGAGATTTGGAACCTGCCCGTTCTGTGTAGGCTTTGCCATCCTAGTAATTGTTCATACATAATTTAATTTTATTCATAATTTTATTCAATGATTTGCAATGTACGTTTTAAAAATAATTCACTGTTCTGGTGTTTTATAGTTGGATACACATTTTACATGCTGTTTTTGTGAATTTTATGCATTAGCGCTGTATTCTGTTATGCCACATGAAATAAAATAAAATGAATCTGGCCATAAATATTTAACCTCCTTCAAAATATTATAAAACATATCATAAATATGTTTCTATTGATCTCAGTATCTAATTCAGTCACTTCATTCTTCACAGTTTCTTAACAAAATAACTATTTTCTTTTTTGGGGAACGCTAAACCTAAATGGGAACTGAACAGCTTTGCTTTTGTTATCTGTTAGGATTTACAGCTTCACTGAGCAATTGGAATACTGCTTTTTTCCTGTTATTTTGAACTTGCCTTAAGAAGCTCTTTCTGTTCTTTCCATACTTGAGTTTTAGTTTTCCTGAAGCCCTCTTCCTAGTTTCAGGGTACATGTATCTGCTGTCCCTTGGTGACTTGGTTCTCTTACCATTTCCATCTTCTATACATCTCTTCCTCCCCTCCCCCCATGTTTTTTCTTACTAAACTTTTTTGGAACTAAAGAAACAAGTTTATAATAGACCTTTAGATAATCATTGTATAAAATCCAAATTAAAGTATCATAGACAGATTGCTGACTAGACTATGCTTGAACACATTCTGAAGAAGTTTTTGGCTGATTAGTGTGATTGTTCAACAACTCTTATTGTTAGGATTTTCCCCCTGAACATCTTTTCCTATAACTGCACTCTGTTATAAAACAGGGGAGATCTTGAACGTGAAACCTTTGTAGGCATTTGAAGATTGCTATTGTAAGATCCTAAATTGTAATTTCCAAAGGCTAAACATACCAAACTCTAAAATGCCTTGTTTCCGGCAACACAAGTCATGCATTTCTGAGACAGAAGAGTTGATTTTCCAAGAAATGTTGGGATAAAGTCTCCCATGACTGACTAGATTGGAAAATCTGCAATTTGGCTTTAAAAGCACTACCTACATTTTATCCTTTGTTGGGCAAGTTATAGCAGATACTAGCAACATTATTGTCTTTATTCATGTCTCTTTATTTTAACCAAGATGAACTTTATAGCAGTCAAATCCATTCAGTTGGATTTGGGAGCAGGAGTGCATAGTTTTAACCTATGGTGCTACTCTTTTTCCCTTTCTATTTTTACTGGGTTTTTAAAATAAATTGTATCCTTCATCTGCTATAATTCCAATCATAGGATTCACCCCACTAGATGTGTTTCTGTTTTACTATTATATCATTTGGTTTCATACTTTAAGATCATATTGTTTATTTCCCATATTCTGAGAAAGAAGGCACAGAAAACAAAAACCATGAACTTTATGAGACATTATTCTCTCATTTTTCACTGTTTTAATAAGGCCTCATTATAGAAACAGTCTGATTTCCTTCTAGGTACTTAATGCTTTATCTTCAGAGCATTTGTCTCCACTAACCACAGGAGTCAGTTTAAGCCCCTTAATCAGACTTGCCATCTTTGGCTAACACATTTTTTATCAATCCTTCTCAGATGCAGCATATTTTGTGCCATAAATGGAAGATATATTGGGAAGAAGAGTTTCCCAGGGCAGAAATCCTAAGAATGTCAGTGATGAACTGCGTCCTAGCATTTTGCATGAAAAAAAAACATAAAGCTGGATTTCCTTTTAAATGGCGGGAAAGTCTGGGAGGAAAAGATACTCTCAGATAGCAAACAACGATGTGTTTGTTCTCTTAGATTTAGCAGGTCACCTGACTCTAAAATATCTCTGGGTGGATTATATAATTAAAAAAAAAAAACAAGAAAAAGAGAAAAAGATATATACAGAAAATCTGCCAGGGGCAAAACAAACATCAACCTCAGACCTGGGAGTAAAGCCAAGTTTTCAGGTTGGGCGTCATACACATTTCTGAGAAGATGGTGTTTCAGAGGGCTGGCATTGCAACCTAGAAGTCATACTTCTATGGTCCTAACTAGATGATATTGTTTAAATGAGGGAACTCAAGAGTGCCTTAGTATGTTTCTCCCCATCCATGTCCTAAACAGCTTCAGGACATTGACAACATCACTTGAATGGCTTGGATCTGAGATGTACAATCCGGTATCAGCTGCATATTGATGATACTGCGCCCCAAATTAATGGATGACTTAAGTGTTTTCAGTTAGGTATTAAACAGGAGACGTGAAAGGGTTGAGGCCTGAGGCATCCCACAATTGAGGAACAATGGGAATAATATGATCAATATTATTTCCATTGTCAACTCAATATTCAACCAACCTCAAGAGTATTATGTATGTTTACTGTTTTCAGTTGGCAATATACAGCAGGGTTCCCCAACCCCCAGGCCATGGCCCAAAACTGGCTGTGGCCTGTTCAGAACCAGGCCGCACAAACGTCGGGCTCTCTCAGTGCAGCTCCATTTGTGCGATTATGTGCATGGTTGCCTCTTACATAGAACCATCCCCTCTCCTCTGCCCCATCTGCCAGGCCACCAAGATGGAACGGTTGGAGACAGCTGATATAAAGATACATACACACAAATACACAGACATACACAGAAAACAGTACTATGGTAGATGGCATGGAAAGCCACTAAGAGAATATACTACCTCATCTCAGCTCCACCAAAAGTTATCAATAAGGAGGACCAATGCTGTCCCAACTGTCCATACCCTGATCAGAAACCCTGAATGAAATAGCTTTTCATCTTTCTTCCATAGTGCTTTAGAAATTTCTTTTGACCTTCATTTCCTGGAATCCCTTACAAAAGCAAGGTCCACAGGACAGGGCCACACAGGAGTAATGTGGTCTAAGACCTCCAAATCACATCAATTCTAGACTCACCCAAGGCCTCAGCTGAATGGAAGGAAGATTCCTCACTCTGGCTTTCCTCAATAGGCCATTGTTAAGGCAACTCTTTTGCATAGTTAACATCCTATCTAATTTTCAAAAGAGGCTATAATAATATAGCCTCTTGTTAGTTTAATTGTGCTGTACCTCCTCTCCGTTCTTATATTTCTGTGAATTAGGGAGGAGTTTTTGCTGCTTCTGAACATTTTCTCTGTTCCAGATTTAAGATATTCTGAACTTAAGATATGTTTCACCTTTTGTTGCTTTACATATCTCCATCACGGTTAATTTCTTAATCTACACCAAATGGCAAATTGAAGTCCCCAAGACTAACAGTTTGGGACCTGCTAAACTATCCCAAGAACAGAATTCAACAGCTCAAGCAGGGATGATATTTTGGGGGAAACAGGGTGGTATAGCAGCAAGAATTCCATGTTTCCTAAGGTCCACCTTCAATTGAACAGTTTCCCTTTTGGTTATCTATAGAATGCTCCCTCTGAGACCCTGCAATGACTAATAAAGAATAGTGGTTGCCCATCGCCCATCCCCTGGAGTTCCAACTGATGCAAAATCTAAAACTTGAGTAGAATATTTATGAAGGGGGAACCTATCCAAGCCTACCCACTTTTCAGTTACTGTATTTTTTGCTCCATAAAATGCTCTGAACCATAAGACGCACATTAGCTTTAGAGAAGAAAAACAAGAAAAAAAATCTGCCTTTGCCTCCCAGCATGCATTGGTATTCATCTGGCTACCGTCCTTGCAGCAAACAGCAAACAGTCTGGTCAGCTTCAGCACGTTATTGCAGCCTGATTTTCAAGAGCAGCTGATTGGCGGTTGGATCGGCCTCCCAGAATACTGCCAATCAGCTGTCCCAGGCAGCAGGGATTGCTGCTGTCATTCGCTGCCGCTGTCGAATGGCGGTGGTGGCAATTGGCGATCCCCGCCGACTGGAACAGCTGATCGGTGGTATTCCGGGTGGCTGATCCAACCACCAATCAGCTGCTCTGCAGCGAAGGCTCCAGCATTCCCTGACAGCATCGGCGATGACAGGCGTCGACAGCGAAAACCACTGCCGCACCAACCCCCTCTCCCCTGCAATATTCACTCCATAAGATGCAGACATTTCCACCCACTTTTTTGGGGGGGGAGTGTGTCTTATAGAGCAAAAAATACGATATATACGGTACTCTCATTTGCAATAAGATGAGAGTACATGAATGAGAATGGATTTATTACAAACTGATCTGACATCCACAAGCAACAGCTGAAGCTGCCACAATCTGCTTCCAGGAATGCATACCAAGAGCCATTTATGAGAATCTTTAACTTGTCATCTCCTAGTGTAGCTGGCCCTGACTCCCTTCATAACTACCTCCTGGCTTTCAAAAAGAGACTGAACCATTTGGCTGAAATGGTAAAGGTTCTCCTGCTCAAGCAGGGGGTTGGATTAGAAGACCTCTGAGGTCCCTTCCAATGCTATTATTCTATGTTCTATGCCCATCACATTCTCAATGGTATTGACTCCATTCCCTTCCTCCTGATTCCCTCCTATTCCTCGGTTCCCACATTTCGGTTAATTTTAGATTTTGTCTGCTTTGGTATTTCTTAATCTATTTTACTTCACATATTATACAGGCCTATTAGGATTCACTGACAGTAGGTCAAACCTCTACCTTACATCCAAGACAACTATATTAGAAGCAACATTTATTTTCTTTTCAAATGGGATGATCTGCAATATAATTACACAGTATTCTTTCAATGCTCTGCTTATGTTCAGGATCATATTCTCTAAGAAGGTCTCTTGATTAATTCAAACTTCTAACAGGAAATGAAAAGATACAGATAGAAAAAGGGATTTATTTTAAGAGCCCAAATCCAAGTATTTCAATAGAAATATACATATACTGTATACAACTTAAAGGCATAGTATTGTATTGTAGAAAGGACAATGATTTGAATGAACACAATGTAATAAAACAGTACCTCAGGGTCACCCAAAACATTACTTTAAATATATAAGTAACTGCTATGCCTTTTACTAAAAAAAACCCCCACTATGTACCTCAGTCCAAATAAAACTCCCTCAAAAGAAAGAAAGAAAGAAAGACCTGTAATGTTTGTTGCTAATTCAATGTCAGTTTAGATAGGAAGGTTTGGGCTTGAAATGTGCATTGATGAATTAACAAATCAGGCTCCTGAGCTGGATTGGACACAAAGAAGTGGACAATGAGTTAAAATGCCCATTCAATCTTCCCAATAATGGCTGTACGAGTCCTACACTTATGTTTGGGTAAAAACAAACAAAGAAACAGAAATCATCTTGCTGTCATGCTTTTCAAACCATTGGATTCTTATTTCACAATTTTAGAGTTATACAAATAGCGCTCAAACACTAATAATTCTAAAAGCTGATTCACACCATTTCAAAATGCACCAACATTAAAGATAAAGCATATCGTATGTAGGGGAGGTGCAGGTTTGTAAATATATAGGAAGAAGTGTCATATCTACCTCCACCTCATACTTACAACGTAAATAATGGAGTATATATAGCAAAGAAGCATGCTATGTAAGGAATGAATCAGTCCTATGAATCAGTCCTATGAACAAGGAAATACTACTACTACTGGCACTATTTTTTATAAAAAGTTTCAGTCTCATAGTATGAAAGATATTCCCCAATAAGTCTAATAAGTTCTGCAAACTGATATATGAATTCCAAGGCACTCAGAATCTCTCTCAAAGGTACATACACGCAGAGAGAGGAAATGGAACATTTGTAATCTTCTGTTTTACAATGAGAAACTCAAAGCATGCCCAGACTAAATATATTTTCCAGACAACCAGAAAACTGCATTTTGACACGTAAACTGTCTAAAGCTCCTTCGTGTGTGTGTGTGTGTGTGTGTGTGTGAGAGAGAGAGAGAGAGAGAGAGAGAGAGAATGAGAGAGAGAGAGATATCTGTCAAAATAGGTATCCAAATAATCCACCAAATTGTTATATTATACTTATGCAAGATAAAATGCTAAAATCTGGTTCACACAACCCCTAAGATACACATACCAATTACAAAAGAATACAAGGTAGACTTTTTTGATTCTTCACTATGAGGAAGAAAGCTGAAATCAGGCACAGTGTGATAGACAGATGACTACAAGAGCCTTGTTCAAGCCGGCTGTAGGGTTATGTTATCTCATATTATGGATATGAGACAACAGAACAGAACGATTTGGGAATCTCAAATCTGGACTGGAAGGAGATAGCTTCCAGTATATAAGGCACACTGACTATGATTCAGGGAGAAAGCAAATGGCCATAAATAAGGGTAGACCTTGGTGGCCTGATCTTCCATGAACCTGTCCTGTCCTCTTTAAAGCCATCAAAATTGCTGCTGTTACTCACTGTTGGCAGCAAATTCCATAGATCAAATACCTGCTGTATAAAAGAGTAATTCATTCTGATGATCCTAAATTGGCCTACATTTTGTGTCAATGAATAATCTCAAGTTCTAACATGAAGAAAGGGAGAAAACCTCTCTCCAATCACTTACCTATATTGTGAATGTGATTTTGTAGATTTCTATGCTGTTTCCTTTACCCTCCTTCATTTCAAGCTATAGTTTCTTCTTGCTGGGAAGCAATTCCAGTCCCCAAATCATTTCAATTGTCCTTTTTGTGCCTTTTATAGCTTTGTATCATTTTAATACGTTGAATGAGAAGAACCACAAACAATATTCCAGGTGTAATCACAACATGGATATACAGTATATAAGGACATTAGGATATCCGCAATTCTATTTCAATTCCCTTTTTAATGATTCCAAAGACGGAATTCCTTTTCATTTAATTTTCTTTTGTAACAGCAGCTGCATACCGAGTTGGTATCTTCACTGAACTACCCACCATGACTCTAAGATCTGTCTCTTAGTCAATAGTTGTCAAATCAAATCCCATTACTGCTTAGGTGGCTTAAAATCCTTTTTACCCTATCCATCAAAAATTATATTAATTTTTCTTACTGAAGTAATAATAGTTTACTCCATAGCAGAGCTTGTGATTTAAACACAACATAGTTTAAACCGTACAGATGATATTTCCAATGACCCTTCAGAATTTTATTTTTCTATTGAAAGAAATGGACTTCCAGATGCCATCAGCAATACAGTTCAATACTTGCATTAATGCAAGTCTCATTTACTATTATTTTTATATACATTCTTACAATCATAAATAAGAAATTTTAAAAAAGCAATAAAGATCATTTGAAACACAGGCATGACTTGAGACACATGTGTATGTATATATGTTTGATTTCAGTACATGAATTCTAGTAAATTCCTGATACGCTTTAACAGCATGTTAAAACAGAGAGGAAATGAAAATGAACTGTTCTCAATTGCTTCAACCTTCATAATTCAGTAGTTAAATCTAGCACGACTGAGGCCACTGGCACCTTTTCTTGCTCATTCTCCCTTGAAATGATTGAGGGAAGTTGTTTTATGGCAATGCACATAGCTCTTGTTCCTTCCACAGAAACACTTGCGATCATCAAGTAGAAAAAGGCCAAATGATTTGGGACTTCTTAATTTCAGTACAAGTTCAAGCAGACATCCATAAAAATGTGCATAAATAATTGTTTACAGTTTTCAGACAGGAACTGAATTGATCAGAGAGTCACTTTGCTCGGCTGTAATTTCACGCAGCGTACTGTGATGCTCCATGCTGGTAAAAAGGTTTCTTGATGGACTGCTGTCCAAAGTCTCTGGACCTCTTGCCTCTGAAGCATCTGTGCTTACCACACTTCCAGTTCGAGAACGATATGGAGGAAGATCTAAATGATTCCGGGATCCTGTTTCTGAGGAATATGGAGGCGGAGGAAGATCAAACCACGGGGGTCTGCTGCAAAGTATAAATTAGATGTCAAGTTACCAGATGTATGAAATAAACAGCATCTGAATTTTGCTTCAGCAAGTTATAAAGACACAAATGGACCACTCAATCCACTTATGTTCCCTACCGTACCATTTGTGACATCCAGAAGACCATGCTGGATGAATTTAAGAATGAAAATGGGATTACTTTACCCCTCAGATGATTTGAACCTTTGGAAACTCAGAGGACAAACTCCCAGCTTGTCCTGTAAGCAACTGTCTTCCAGTGACATTACTTGCAGCTTCCAACTGATCAGGGGAGGGCGTTCTGTTCCTTGATCCTGGGAAAATGTCCCAGTTCAAGTTACCATATTACAATACAGATGCATACAAAATGTTCACTACTTGAATAGCCAAGTCACAATAGAACTGACTTGATGGGTTGACTTTTGACAAGTAACTTTTGTTCATAAGCCAGAAACATCCATTCAGCCTGTATTCAGTATTATTAATAATATTGTATTCAGTATTATTAATAATACTGTACCCAGTATTATTAAACTGCATTTTTTGATGTTACTGGAAGACAAAAATAATGAGTTGGTTAAATTTTAGGAATTTTGCTCTATGATAAGCAGTCCCTGGTATACTCCAGGGACTGCAAGGCCAATTACAGCTGTCAGCTCAGGGAAATTACACATAGGTGATGGTGGACAAAGCTAAGCCTCAGGAGTCCACAAGATTCAGGCTTCTCAAGATATATTCTGGCATCTCACAAACATACTACAATTGTCTGTAACTATGTGTTATTGTAGGGTAAGTTGACCTTACTTTGCATTGGAAACAATAAGGAGGGGTGGAGCAATTCTGTTTAAAAGTCTTATGTCTCACAAAATATACTTAGAATGGCTTCTCTCCATGTGAAAACATAAAGTGATTTGTGTTTTTTGCAATAGATGGTGGGACCAAATTGAAGACATATTAGAAGTCGATCAGCATCACACGAGTCACAGCCACCCATTCTCATTATCACCACTGAAATCAATAAGAATCTTAGCAGCAAAACCAGAAATTAATGGACTGGCTTCATATGTTAAAAAAAAAAAAAAAAACCCTACAATTTAGTTCCCATAACTGACTGCAGACAAATATATTGAATTGGTATGTTGTTGTAAGGGATTTCTCATTGATTTTCAAGTGCTACATTTTAAAAGCTTGGGGAGTTAAAATTAAATTCTGTATAATGTATATATGCATCACTTAGTGATAAATTATTAGTTGCCATGGTTTCACATTAACCTCCCCCACTCTTTCGGGGTGGGGGGGAAGAGACACTATAAATGGATTTTTAATTTTCCTCAATGGATCCAGTATCCAGATTCCTCAATATATTAGCCCCAATATATTGTTACTAAGAAATACAAATAATTATCTCTTTAGTGGAAATTGTGATCAGTTTGTAAGAATTTTGTGCACATCAAGTGATGCTATTAATACTGAAATACAATTTGTCCATTTACTCAAAGACAAGCTTTTTAAAAATTAAATTTGCTTTAAATTATTTATAGTGATTAAGCAGCTCCCAGGCAATACCAATGAAATGCATTAATGCCCACTATATGTCACATTGGAAGGTAAAGTTTGGAAATAGATCTCTCTGTGTGTTTTTTTCTCCCTCCAGTTTCAGACAACAATGGCAATACTAGCCTGACATTCTGCATGTTTTTTTTAAGAGCTCTGTTACTCACTAGCCTGGAACTCTTGTACATATCTGCCTCAGTTTTTAAAAAAGAAAACAGCAAACACAAGTGAAAAGTGATCTTTTCATGGAATGAAAATGGCATCATATTGGCTAAAAAGCAGCTTGAGTAGGATACGAAAGGGGGCATTAACTGAAAATGGCCTCTACACTGAATAAACTCCAATTCATTCTGATGAGCTAAATTGGTAAGCATGACCAAAATATGAATTCCACATATATTTCCATGACATACTTCAATTCTGAAAGAATCATTTTTGAAATCGGAGGATAGACAGATTTCTCTCCGCAGAACTTTAAAGTGGATTCCTGTATTGAGGAAGAAATTCTGCTTGGTGAAGTTCAAACTGCAGCATTTGTGACTTGCCTTAATGTCAGTAAATAGTCAGGCAGGACATTTGGGTATAAATATTGAAGGAGTTTATGAGGCAACAACCCAGTAAAATCAATGCTAATGAAGCAAGGGTGGTGCGGCTATTAAAGGAAGCTATCATGAAAGAGAAGCAAAAAAACAGAAGAAAGGGTTTAAAACACAGCTTTAAAGAAACTCCACTGGTTACACTACTGCAATGTACCTTTGATCTAGCACAGCTTCTGAATAAGATGGTGGTGAATCTAAATCTGGAGGTCTATGATAGCCCTGGGTAGACATATACTGGACCCCATTGTTAACATTATAGGTGACATTGCACTGATGTGGATGATCAAGGACGACGAGACGAGACAGGAGGACAGGATGCTGCAGTCGATGTACGGGAAGTGTCATGAGGTTGTTGCGTTTTCGCTGATGGTGCAAAATTAGGGCCAGGAGGGCCACCACCAACACAAAAATAGCAGAGCTGCCAATGATTGCATAGGTAACGCTGGGATAGAAGATCAGCTGAGGCTCTGTTGTTACGTAATTCTGATTGCTGTCAGTTTCTGCAAGTGAGAAGAAAAAGAGAGTGATACAATTAATCTCTGTGAATGAGATGCCACACTTTTCGATATATGTCTTCTCTGCTAATTTAACACCACTTCCTAGGCTTTTCATCAAGGTTTTTTTCTAGGTTTAGAAAGTGTGGAAAATTGGCTTCTCAAAAACAAAATAAGCATCGACTAACTTCAATTGCATATTTCCCCCCGCCTGCTTTGGAAGTTTCTCTTTGGAACAGATACTCTTACTGACTATGGAGGAAAAGAAAACTCAATACAAAGATAAGCTCTCTTTCTTTATCAACCTTTGTGATTTAGTTTTCAGTACAGTTGAATTTAGAGAGTCACATCTGTTTCCATGGTCTAAAACAGGGGTGTCAAACTCGCGACAATACGTTGTTGTCACATGACATATCACAACTTTCCCTTCACTAAACCGGGGGTGAGCATGGCTGGTGTGTGACGCATCTGGCCTGTAGGCCATGAGTTTGACAGCCGTAGTCTAAAATTTAGGCAAGAATTCAAATCTCAGGCATCTCATTCCATTGTTGATCTACAGAAATCTCAAGCCCATTTACCTATCACCTGCCTATTGTATAATTTCTGAATGCAGTTGCATGAAGTGATTCTTCACAATGAAGTATAGGCAATCAAATACACAACTATTCATATTTCTGCATTATATATTAGTTCTGATTATGCAGCACCAAGCTATTATTACTTTCCCCAAAAGAAATAATATGCTGCATCGTAAAAACAAAGCAAGATCTGAAAACTGCATCAAGTTATTAAAAAATTGGCAGGTTGTTATTTTTAGCAAAGCCAAGAGCCTGTAGAAGAAAATAATTATAAAAGATTAAATTTACAATTTTTTTTCCACTATAGCGTATATTGAGGCAAGAATTATACCAGGCTACCAATTTCTTTTATTAAACCCCTTTTAATATGCTGATAAGCAACAGTTTGCATAGTATAGATCTTGGAAGTTGACAACACATAATAATGAGAAATCTAGACACTCATGATAACGTAACAATTGAAAGTAGTATTCTGAGACTCAGCAAACATATATCCTAAAATCAAAATCTATCTTCTTCTCAGTTTGGACATTACAGCATTACAACACTTTACATATTAAAATGCAAGCTGCCTATTCTATGATACTTATAAAAGAGATTCAAGTCAGAGAAGACTATAGATTTTAAACTAATTTATTTATTTATACTTAATATTTCTATCTCTATGTTAATTACATCCAAAGACCTCTATTTTGATTGCCTGCTAAGGCTTGCCAACTAAGAAAGAATGAAGGAAGAGCACAATTATAGTCATAGAATGTTTTACCATACTTGAGGACATGCTAAACCACAGGTGTCAAATTAAATCGTGTCATGGGCCAGATTGTGACTTTTTTGCCTTTGTGGAGCCAGGATGAGCGTGGTCTGTGCCACGGGTTGCCAATTTGACAGGCCTGTGCTAAACCATAGGTCTAAAATATTATTTCTGAAAAATATGCTTCCTTCCACAGACCAGGTTGAGGTCACTGAAGGAAACCAACATCTCTTGATCTCAATATTCTCCTTTGATATGAAATGATTTTAAGTAAAGAACACTTTTGTGTGCAATTCATCTCAGCAACTCCTTTTGGTTTACTGTTTATAATCTCAGTAGCACATTACATCTGAAAATCAGGACAGGACAGGAGACTTGTAACCATGTTTACAATAAGAACCAGCTTAATGAACAAAGTTTAATTAACAAATAGGAACAGTATCTACGATGGCTGAATGCATATGACTAGGAATAGAGTCTATAATTACTTTCTTAGACCATCACCAATACTACTAACAAAATTAATTTTTCTTGAAGGCTCATATGATGACCAAGAATGTCAGAATCAACAGCAGTGAAGATTTGATAAGCGGTATACATGATAGACAAGTGTAAGCCAAGTTGAATAATAGACTGAATGCAGTAATTATATATACTACTATATACTACTATATTCAAATTCTTGCTTGGCCATGCAAGAACACTGGATGACCCTGAGACAGTCCTGACTGCCACACTGGGTCACTGTGAAAATAAAGGGTGTGTTTGTGTGTGGGGAAATAGTTATAAATGCAGTTTATACCTTAAAGTGTAGGATAACACGATACACAATGTAGCGGATTATTTTTTTGATAGACATAATCGAAGTGATTTAAGAACATCAGAGTTGCAAAAAAATATATATACTGTGCAAATACCCTCAATCTGTACAAAATTAGATTCTCACAAACAAAATTAGAGCCGTGATGGCGCAGTGGTTAGAATGCAGAATAGCAGGCTAATTCTGCCAACTGCCAACAGTTCAATTCTCACCAGCTCAAAGTTGACTCAGCCTTCCAGCCTTCTGAGATCGGTAAAATGAGAACCCAGATTATTTGGAGTAATATGCTGACTCTGTAAACTGCTTAGAGAAGGCTATAAAGCATTGTGAAGAAGTATATAAGTCTTATTGCTATTGCTCACAACTTAGAAAGCCAAAGACTTTCTAAGCCAAAACATTCTGTGTTTATTGGCAAATTATGCTTCCTTTCCTAGGAATAAGGTGTGCACGTAGAAAATTAATGCAACTTTCCTTTTTGGCATAACCCTTTTCAAGAAAAGAAAGAGAAGAACCACCTGTCAGTTATTCCTTACTAGCTGCTTGTACTGGATAGTGGCAGTTCTAACACTATAACAGATGGATTTAAAGTAGGGCTATCATATATGGGTTACAAAAATCTAGATACCTTTTTCCACCATTTAATTGTCATATAGATTTTTGTAGTTCAGGTAGGTTTCATTTAAGGGCTTACACTATTTTGCTTTGAAACCAAAGGTAATTTTAAAAAAAGGAAATATAACTTTTAGTTCTATTCAGGCAATTTTTAGCAAATGCTTTTACAGACAAAGCCAAAAAATTAAGTTTCTTAACTTAATATATTAATTTCTTAATATAAGATTCTTAACATGAGATCTCCTCGATTATCAGTGGTCACTGATGAAAAAAAAAATCTGTGGAAAAGCAACCAAGGGTTTACACATTGAAACATCATCTGGGCCTGTGTTTTATATTTGAGGCAGAGGATTACACAATTAAAATGTTTAGAAGCAGCCTTACTTCTTAACATGTACAATGTTTCCTAGTTACAGACTCTAATTCACAAGAGCGAAGTGAATTGTTGTACAGCTCATTCTGGCAATTGCTTAGCACTGCAGGATGATTGCACACTAACTCATCAAATAAAGGCCCAGAACTTCACCTCTCACCTTCTCTCCTTTTTATTTCTCACAACACTGTATAATTATCTCAAGCACTTCTTCTGTCCCAGTTTCAGTGCCAAAAAAAGGGGGGTGGGTGACTGGGTGAAGAGAATCAGCAACTTGAGACAATAAGCCAAGATCACATTAACATTAAGCTGCTGTTTTAAAATTAATTCTATGAGCTGTACAAGCTTCTGATCCGTTGGCCACATTGCATAAAATAGTTTGATGTGTTCAAATCAGATAACATTTTGTTTCTTGTCAGGAACTGCATACCCTTCAGGACAATCATTGAGGGCTATATACCAATAATGGATTGTGATAAAGTAATTTACAAATAGTCCTTGACTTATGACCACAACTGAGCCCACAATTTCTGTTCCTAAGTGTTAAGGGTCAAGTGCTAAGTTATTAAGTGAGTTTTGTCCCATTTTAGAACTCTCTTGCCACAGTTATTAAGTGAATCACTGTAGTTGTTAAATTACTAACATGGCTGTTAGGTGAATCTGGTTTCCCCACTGCCTTTGCTTGTCCGAAGGTCACAAAATTGATTACATGATCCCGGGACTGTCATAAATATGAGTCAGTTGCCAAGAGTCCAAATTTTTCACCACATGACCTTGGGGGAAGCTGAAATGGTTGTAAGTGTGAAAAACAGTCATAACTCATTTTTTTCAGTGCCTCTGTAACTTTGAACGGCCACTAAGCAAATGGTTGTAAATTGAGGACTATCTGTAGAGGGTAAAATCAGACCCAAAACTGTCTGAAATTCCTTTTCTTTCTTTCTTTGAAACACAGTTCCCTATTTTCCACCAACAAATGCCAAGAAATCGATGGAAAAATTGGATCAGAGGTCTGATATGATCAATCATAGAAGATCTTTGAAATTAGGTCAAAATTCTGTCGTGTTCCAAAGATTGCAGCTTGCTGTCTCCGACTTAACTGATTGATCAATATCAGTTGATCATCATCATCAGCACATGGGATGCAGTCATCTTAACTCAAAAGAAGTCCATCCTGGCTTTTACCCTACAGCATCCATAGTGGGTCATGATAAGATCAAAATGACAACATAGAATCATGAGGTCATCATGCAAATGACACAATTATCTAATTGTATTGTAATGGCTGACACAAGTAAGTAAGCCAGCTATTTGGGCAATAACATAATGACACACTTGCCATTTGCTTCCCTGACAGCCATGATTTGTACATCGGTGGCTAGATGTAGATATTAGTCTACAACCTGCAAAAATACTTCTTTAGTATAGATAATCCAGAAAATGCCATGATTAATTGAGGAATTATAATTAGTTTTCTCAGGTCCATATAATTCTCTACTGAGATGCACAGATGGCTGTAATAGCTTTACAAATGACATAGTTATTATCTGGAGAATACCAATATGCAAATTCACCAGTGTGCAAGGGCTTTCTTTCTGTCACTCTGGAAAGAGGTAGGCCTTAAAAATGTACACAGGGACTAGCAACATTTGTCTAACATGCAAAACTAATGCTGTGCAAGAAATAACAAGAGTGAAAAAACTTCTGTGCAAGTAATTAAATGGGCGGAGGGTGGGGAAGAGTTAATCTTGCCCATTTATTAGTCTTCACAGTAAATATTTACTCCCTCAATTATTTAATCCATATATCCCACAGCAAGGAAGTTTGTCAGAGATCATGAGAATACTGGAAGAATCAGCAGGCACCAGAAGG